ACAGTATAGACTGTGTTATCAGTGGTCAAGACGAGCTCCACTGGCATCAGGCATCGGCCCAGGATTTCTGAGGAATATTCATCCTTTCTTTGGTTCTGCAGTAATTTAGTCTCAGTATTCTGATCCTCATGGACCAAATGGTAGAGTTAACTACCAACACAACCTGCACACAATAATGGAGGAAAAGTAAAGGAAAATCAATTGTAGAGGTAAACGTACACAAGAATAGCTAGATGTAGTCTAAAATATTACCCTACACATTTTCTTCTGCGAAATTCTTGTTTAACCTGGTAAATCTTCTGCCACTAGATTTATTCCAAGAGGCTAAGGCTTATTGCTCAAGGGAGAAGAAAACAAAAATATTGGAAGATCAAAAGTAAAATTTGTTGGTTTTTGAGGTCTTGTGTATATAGAGATAATAGTCTTCAAGCCCATTAAAAGATCTATGCATCTGAGAGGAAAAAAAGGTTTTGAAATATTCTAAACTTGGCTTGGAAGATGGAAAGACAGACTGAAATAAAAGCGCATGCAGTATACCGGAGAACAATAAATTGGAATAAGAATGTATGCTCACGTTGAATTAGTTCCCATCCACAGAAATAAAAAGTTTGAAGAGCTGAATAAGAGAAATACATAATGGGTCCATGCGAATGGCCCAGGATCATTCTTCTTTTGGGGGTGGAGTCACCTACTTGATGGGTGGGGCCGGGTGCGGAAATGTTTGCTAATAGAAATTCACAGAGAATTATGAGAGTAGAGATTGTGTTTATTTTTTTTCTCCTTTTTTATTTTTCCTTTTCTTTCATCTTTTCTTATTTTTTATTTTTTTTACTTTTAAATTAAAAATCTTTATGGGCACCGCAAGGGGCCACGCAGACCCCACACCCGCACGCCGATGGGGAGCGCAACAGGTCAGGGGACCGGTGCCCCCGCACCCCGCCCCCGGAGGCTCGACACCCCAAGGGCGAGCGAGGGCTGCCGCGCGGAGTCAAGAGCACCACGGATCCCGCCGGCACCTGAGTTGTCGAGTAGCAATAACTGGGGGAGACTTTCGGGCGGACGAACCCACGGCAGGCTCGCTAGATCGGACTGTCTTTTACGCCCCTACTGCCAGTCCCCCAGGGCTCAGAGGGGTCTGAGAATGAGCCAACCGACCCGATAGAATCTAATTTAGGATGAAGAGGTTGCCAAGTGTGTCAGAAACAGCTGGCTGCCTACCAAAAATGTGCGTTCTTATTTCCGTGCTGAGAGGTGACATCCCAAAGAGAGGCTGCATTGCCCAGCCTTGTTGGCAGGGAGGTATGGCAGTATGTCTAGCCCTTGCCCATGGAAGGTGAGAAAGCAGAAGTGAATGCTTTTCCCAAACCCTTTTCCCTTCCTATGGCCAGAAGAAAAGACTCCAAGGCTGTAGGGTCATGGTTCCTGCATGCAGTTCTGCAACCACAGTGAATTCCCAGAGGGTGCCTAAGGATATAGTAAATATTCCCGAGAAACTGTAATAGCAGAACACACCGTAATGAACCAAAGGGGAATCTTTGGGACACTTCATATTTTTTAGGGAAAAGCAGTACTGTCTGTAGAGCTGAGGTCCCAAATCCCCAGACCGAAGTCTGCAACCTGTTAGGGACCAGGCCACAGAGCTCTGCTGCTCCCCCCACCTGCACCATCCTTGGAAAAAAATTTCTTCCATGAAACTTAGGAAGAGGGACATGGAGGGGGGAGACAGCAGGAGGTGAGCGGCAGGTGAGGGAGCGAAGCTTCATCCTCATCTGTATTTTCATCTGTATTTACAGCCGCTCCCGCTCCCCCTTGCTTACTTGCATCACCGCCTGAGCTCCGCCTACCCCCCATGAAACCAGTCCCTGGTGCCAAAAAGGTTGGGGACCGCTGCAGAACACTGAGCAAATGACTACTATTAAATCCTTTGGCCCTGGCTACTTAATATAAAGAGCTGTTAGATATTTCTTTTGGTCTGCAGCCTAAAAAATATATTATTGAGACTCCAAAAGCACTATAAACCAAGAACGTGTGGGAGCCTTGGCCTTAGGGAATGGTGGAACCACAGGTGAAGGGTTGTGGGTTCCTAAATTTCTACATGAAGGAAAGGTACTTACCAATTAAGAACTCCTACGTTGGACTGGTATTTGAGCTGGAAATAGACTTTTGTTGCATTATTCAGTTGAACTTTTAAAGTTTATTTGTCATCACAGCTAGCATGACACTAACTAATACATAAGAGTATATGGGAGTCTAAACCTGAGGTCAAGCTAGAGCTGCAGGTATCAACAGCAGAGTCCTGCACACCACCATTCCTGCAGACCATATGAGACAAAACTCCGTCTTAGTGGAGGCCACTAAGCTAAAAGCATGGCTCATAGAGTAGATGTCTCTTACCCACTACCAGGTCAATATATAAGCCTCCCGAAACTAAGATCAACCTCAAGGAAAAGGGGAAGGATATGGAGAAGGTAAAGAATGCTAAGGATTTGGCACAAATGAGATTGAGTAACCTTAACTTTGGCATTTAAAAATTTTTACCCTCAGTGGATAAGTGTTTGAATGCTAAGTTGATTATGCTTTTTTTGAAAAGAAACAGATTTACATTTTGCATATTTCATTCTGGAACTGTAAAATTTTCAATCCACCACATATGTTACAGCAAGGAAAGAAATATAGTGGCCGAAAGAGATGTCCCTGTTCCTGCAAGTGGTCACTGGCCACAGATGACATCTATGACTTCTCTTCTCCACTTTTTTCCCATGTTCCCCTTGCTTTGGGCCAGCATCTCAGCTGGTTGGGATTCTTTGCCCGTTGGAAAGAAGAGCCTGAATCCTGGCGGTGCTGCCTTGGTGAGGTTACAGCACTTTCACGAACCATTCCCCTAGAACATGGTGATACAAAGAACTCTCCTGAGTTCCTTCTACTGCTCCCTGCTCCTGCTATGTAAGAGTGCTGTTTCCTTGTGACAGGCTAAATTGCTCTAACCAACACTATGATCCTATTCTTGCCTATTTTTTTAGAGAAGCTCAAAAAAGACTAGGTAGCACTTTCAAATTTCAATAAAACTACTATACTGTGTCTCCTGGTGGAAACATTTCTCCATCCACGCTCACTAAAACCTCTCAAACCAGTGAAGTCCAGATTCATGAAAAGTTGGCACAAGGAATAGGATAATAGAGTAGCCCCAAAACACACATATCCATGACAGAAGTGATGAGAACATTTCACAGCCAACATCTTCTTTAGTCCTCCCCAGCTCAGCTTTAGCATGAATGCATTTTTCTGTTCATTTCCTTCCCAGATAGGTAAAACCTGCACAACTGAAAGAACGCAAGATTTATCATCCTCCCATTCAGTAGTTCTCAGCTGGGGGCAATTTGCCCCCCACCCCCAGGGAAGCATTTGACAATGTCTGCAGACATTGTCGATGGTCACAACCAGTGGGTGGCAGGTGCTGCTGGCATCCAGAGGACAAAGACTAGGGGATACACAGGACAACCCGCCACAACAAAGGATTATTTGGCCCAAAATTTCAATAGTGCTGAAGCTGAGAAACCCTGATCCAATTCATTTGTTTATATGTGTAGTTTGCTCCCCCTGCTAGACTGTGAGTTCTGTAAGGGAAGGGACTCTGTCTTGTTCACTGCTCTGCGCCTGGGACACGTTAGTCAACAAATATTTGATGATGACTAAATAATAGATGAATGAGTGCCTCGTAGTTCACATCAGGCATTTTTATATACATTACTTCATCAGGACACTTGGTGCCTTGACTTGGAAGGGTTAGCAAGGCGAAGGGGGCTGGTAGAGTGCAGCATGACTGAAATATCCAGGGTGGCACAACTTCCTCGAATATCCTGATGTGGTTCTCTTCCCCTGGAGACAAAACCAAAATGTCATAATTTTCCTTCATTTTGATTTTCTAACTTGAAGGAATAATGTGCCACTTTTACGATGTCCTCAGTTCCTTCATTTATGAAATGAATGGCACCAAACAAAACTGTGGTTTGTATTTCGCAATTTGCACAGAGATTCGATGTACTTTTCATTGTTCTGCATCTTTTTTAACGACTACAAATGCATTTCCTCTCTAGGAAAGATGCCCCTTGTTCTCTCCTCCCATCGCTCCTTGACACCTCAGTTAAGCTTAGAAGAAAGGCCAGGAAGAGCGAGGTGCCCAGGCCTCTTCCGTCCTACCCCCCATCCCCCGCAACAGTACCTTAAGCATAGCTCTGTTAAGGCACTAATGGCAACGTCTATGCACCTGGTAATCCACACGGCTTTGTCCTTCCTTACCTGTGGTAGGACACACTCTTAATATCCCTGGTACCTGGAGCACAAGATGGGCTCAGTCAATGCCTATTGAATGAATAAAATGCCTTTCACCTACTTCACAATGTCACCTAGGGCACCCTTTGCCAACTTCACAATGTCACCAGAGGCGTCATTTTTGCCTGCTTCACAATGCCACTTTCAACTGACCCTACACAGAAATGGGGACTTCGCAGGGACTTAGGGGTGTATCTACTTTCAGCCCTGTCTGAATCACTCTTCAGTGGCGGCTCCAGCCAATGAATGAAGAGAGGCAAAGACCCAAAAGTCTTGAGCTGCAACAGATGGACTTGGGTTAAACAGCCGGGGATGGAGGGGCAGTAATCACCATCCCCGAGCGACAGCAAGACCTCCCCGACTCGGAGCTGCGTGTAGACAGGGGCATGCATTTCACCATTGCTCTGGGTGCCTCATCCGCCGCGACCAAGGCCTGGCCGACCCTGGAGGCAGAGGCTAATGGTGTTGATGTGAACTGATTCGATTCGCTCAAGCCTTTGCCGGCAAAACTGCCCAAGGAGTCTACAGAAAGCTGCCGGCAGTCTCTCTGCATTTCCCAGAAGTGCAGCTGGGGAACTTTCCCAGCCCGGCCCACAGGTTGCTAAAGGGTCAGACCGAAAGGACCCGCCTTTCCCAGACTGGGGCCCGGTAGGAGGAAGGTTGTTCCCAAGGCCACGTGAAGCTTCCTCGCCCCTAAAGGCCCCACACGGGCAGGGCTAATGAGAGAGGAAATTTAAGGACGCCCCAATCTCTGAGACGCGGAGCCCCGCTGCCGCCCCAAGAGCCGCTCTTGCAACAGCTGCCACCCCCGGCCACAGCGGCCGCCTTGTCCAGCCGAGCGGAGGACGCGGCCGCGGAGCGATGGCCCGCCGCACCCCGGGCAGGCGCCTCGGGCTGCCGCCGCTGCCGCCGCCGCTGCTGCTGCTCCTGCTGCCGCCGCCGCTGCTGTTGGCCGCCGCGGCGCAGATGAACCCGGCAGGTGAGCAGCGCGCGCGCGGCCGCCGGGGTGGGGGGCGCTGGGGAGGGGCCCTGGGCACCGCCCGCGCCCCGCTGCGCGCGCTCCCGCCCCAACCCCGAGCCTGGCCAAGTTAACTTCCAGCGGGTGTCTTCTTTCTGGGTGGACGCCAAGCAACGCGCTTCTGCCGGGAGACTGGCCCAGTCTGGCACCAGCCCCGCGGTAGCGCAGCGGTGGCACTGGAGAAGGGCACGGGGTGTGCCGCGAACGTCAAAAGTTTTGGCCAGAGTTCTTGGCCAGCAAATCAGTTCACTTCTGCACCAACTCTTGGCCCACAAAGCTTCGGCTGGTCCTAAAAGCTCCAGCCAAAGGACATCTAAATATATTCATCTAGATCATTGGGAGGTATGATTCCCGGCTACCAATTGTTTTGTTTTTTTAAAAACTGACGATGACTTAAAATAATGATTGCAACTTGGTATTGTCAGCTCGGTATGTGCCAGGTAGTGTGCCGCAGGGGTTTATGTGTTTGGATAAAATGCTCACTATAATCCTAAACAGAATTGTAATCCTCATTCTACAGATGAGAACATTTAGATTAGGAAGAAGTCAGTAATTTGCATAAAGATAAAACAGTAAGTGAAGACCGAGCTGGGATGCCAGAGGGCGTTTGCTTAACCACTTTCCTCTTGGAAAAACAGGTTTTATTCCTGCAGGTATTGATGCAAAGGTACACCCTATGCAAAAAAAAAAAAAAAGTCACTTCCATTCCCAATGAGTAAAGCCAAGATTGTGAACTATAGGGACTTAAAAGACTTTAAAAGTAACAAGAGAGGATTAATTTTGTTTTATTTCTTAATCCCTTTTCTCTGCTGACCTTGTGCAAGAATAGGGTGGGGTTTGGGAAAGGTGCTCCTTCTCAAATGTGTGTACAGATTCTTGTTACACCACCTTTCATCAGCAAGTATCTGCAATCACCAGATTTCAAGATCTTTTCTTTCCGAAATGCCCAGTTATCAGTCTGCAATCTTAAATCCTTCCAGTCTGTGCAAGCCCGGGGGATCAGATGCCCCTACAGGCTCCTGACTCTCTACTTGTTGCACATTCTCTTCTTTGCCTGAACTATGGAGGAGGCCTTGGTACCTATCTTTGGTCCAGGGAGACTGCTCATTCAGACGTACCTGGGGAAGAACGAGAGGGTCCAGGAAATGCAAATGGCTTTTGTGTCTGGAACTCTAGTGGAAATCTTCCTTCTTTTTCTGTTCTTTTGGACTATTGAGATTACTTTAAATGGGGTGGAGATATTGTTTTTCCAAAGAATTGCTTATTCAAGAAGATATCGCCTTGTAAGAAACTGCATCTTAAACTGAATTCCCTAAATGGGAAGCTGACTCTATACCTGCAGGGTCTGGAGCCGAGGCAGAAAGTGAGAACATTTCTGATGCAAAGCAATCCCGACAGCGCCACATCCACCAATCTGGAAAAGCTTCTTATCATAGGAGTGAAGGATGTCTGGTGATGCCACATTGACTATTCCAAACAGATGTGATTTCTGTTTCCTTTGTTCCACCCTTATTAATATGTTTTCTGTGGCAGCTTTTTGGATCTTTGTCTTAACCTTCTACTAGACTCCTGACAATTTGAGAGTAGAAAACATGGACTTTGCTACCTCTTGCTTGTCATGTGTTCTCTGAACTACCCAGCTCAGTACTTTGAACTTAAAAGGGATTCAATAAATAATAAAGGGATTGCATTTTCATCCTCTTGGAATGAATTTTATATCCTACCAATATGCATCTATGTATCCAAAAACAACTTCTTTAGTTTTTTAAAAAAGGTTTCTTATCACCATAATACTGTAGATGCATACGACTTCTTTAATTTTTAAAGGTTGCTTTGTATAATAGTTTCATCTTTCCAGAAATTGGCAAATAATTGCACATTCTTCCTCGCCGTATCTTTCAAGCTATTATAAACTTCAGACATATAATGGTGTTACCTTTATCTCTCCAGACTGAAAAGATATTTGTTTTTTGGAGTCCTTGTGTAATTTTTTCTAAGTTGTATGTATAGCGAAGTCAGGTTGTCACCAGGGAAAGAAATGAATTGGCTGCCGAGAGCCTTATAAGGCGGCATGTACCTTGGTAAAACTGGTTCAAAATCTGCCCTCAGTCTTGCAGGGCTAGGCTTTAGAAATTCAGTCTTTCTGGTTCCCCAGATCTGATCAGTTCCAAGGAAGCTGTTTCATCCTGATACACACCCACGTCTATTCACCAGACTTACTGTTAATTTTTAGTTAGAAATATAACTGTCAGGCAGACTGGGTATTTGTGTGGCCTGGCCCAAGCATGTTCTCACTGTCATCAAACCACACGGGGTAGACAATATCAAGGGTTTTCAGCCTGGAGGTTTGATTGATCTATCTCCCAGTAGATACTGAACATTTGAATCAGCCCACGGGTGCCCCTCCACTGGACAGCGCTTGCCTGGCACAGCTGGCCCCTGACCCTGCCTTGTCCACATTTCCATGGCTCACTTGTGCCCACTTGACACTAACAGATTCCTCTCTAGATAGGTTAATGCCTTCATCTGGTTGTCGAGGAGTTTACAGTCCTGGGAGTTATTCAGTCTCTGTAAGGTGACTTGGCAGACCTATGGTCAGGGCCAGTCTCAGTTGATCCTTTAGCTCTGAGGGCATCCTTATTTCCAAATTCACTTGAGAGAGGCTCGCCTCATAGTTGCTCTATATGCTTATTCTTTACATGAAAGTTCTTCGTTCTTGGAAGCACAGTGTTAGAAAGGTAGCACAGAATTCCAGACACAGAAAAGCCCCTGGAACCCAACTGCCTGTGTTATTATCTTGGCTCCAACACTAACTGTGTGACCTTTAGTCAGTTATTTAATTTCTCTATGCCTCACTTTCTTCATCTGTAAAATGGGTATTATAATAGTATCTATCTCACAGTGTCATTCTGAGGAACAGCACTTGGCAGGTGTAAGTAAGTGCCGTATAACTGAGTGGCCATTGGAGTTGCTTTCCTCAGGAAAGGCATCATGGATACTTGATAAGGCCGACAGGATTGCAGATGGTGATTTCTGTGCTTGGAAGTAATAACTTGTTGTCAAAGTAGGATGTTTCCTCAATTGTGGCCCAGCATTTCAGGGATTTGGGGTACATACCACCAGTACATTAAGTAGGTGTTTCAAAAAACAGTGAGCAGTGTCTTGGGTCACTTTCCTCAATTATAACTGACTGACTGTAATCACCTTGATCATTTTTTCCTAAATGAATTTCTATTAACTATGCACCTGCTTTAGAATTTCCCCACTCTTCTTTCTTTCAGAGCCTTGCTAAATCTTCCTCCAGCTCATCCCCATTGCTTTGGTGTTTCAGAGCCAAAAGCAGCTAGAGCTCTGTGTAAAACTGAACACTTGTTTGTGCGCTCCCTTTATCACTTGGAAAAAATGTACACAAGATAAGTTCCAGAGCAATTCCTAGAAGAAGTTCACATTTATCTTTATTATTAAACTTCATTTTATGGTGCTTCTGGAAGCATGAATCTGATAGCAGACATGAAAATCTTCCTCTAGAAGAAAATTAAAAAGAATCCTACTGTAGTGTTTACATTGAGGTAGAACAATTTTTTTTTTTTTTAATTTTCATGGTGATTTAGTTTTGCAATATGTAAACTATGAAACATGTGGACTTTGTCCTGGGAGTTTGTTCTGATAGGCAGAACAGAAACTTTTGTTTTCAGACTTCTTTAGGCATTAATTTTACATAGTCACTTGTTATCTTTTGCTTTTGTTGGATTCCAAATGATAAAGCATGAACTATTGAAACAGAAGAAGAAAAGGTAGCAGCACTAATCATGGAAAGAATCTCAAAGGATTTACCTTCTTGAATATTTTAAGGCTTTTTTATGCATTTAAGTTGTATCTCTTTTTTTTAATGCAATAGATCCCAGTTGCTCCTATAACTTATACTTCGTAAGCTTTTGAAAGTTTAGCTTTAAAATATAGCCAGAAAATTTATTAAAATGTTATTATGTAGCTTCTTTGTACTACTGCAAAACAGGAATTTACTTAATATGGTAAAAAATGAAATAGAGGTAGTGAAATTATGAGGAAATTTCAGTCTAAACTTGAAACACTGTGTCTACACAATTAACAAATATCATGTTACAATCTTCCTAGAGGAAATTATGGAAGTCTCTTGATTGAGAGATTTGAAAGCAGAATGAGAAAATCACTGAAAGAGACAGGCTTTCTCTGAAATGTGTCCATCAGCCTTGCCCATGCAGTAATAATTTTGGCATAAGGTAGTGTTGTATTATTCAAACCAGTGTCATTCTCTTTGAGGTCATTTGCAAACCTAAGATACTGAAGTTCTAATTCATAATTATAAATCATGAATTAGTATACTATGAACGTGATACCAGTCTGTCACCAGGTGTGACCTTCCCAGCCAGTGTGAAAGTTTGGGATTTAGGTGGCCACATAATCCATAAAGCATTGTGTTAGGCCCAAGGGAATGGATACAATAATACGATATGCCACCTCTCATTCTCAAGGAGCTTGTAATCAAATTTATTGGACCACATACACAAAAATATATAACTAATAAATGATCTAGATGAGGATTGAGCCAAGAGTGTCAAACCCAAATAGGGCAAAGTTGACTTTCTGCCAATAGGACTTTTGGGAAGAACTCTGATTTCAACTGGCAGGGAAGAATAGGCATGTTTGAGGGGGTAAGGAAAGGGATCAGATCTTAGCAAATCTCCATCATTTTTCTGTATTAGTGTTTTGTTGCCTTGGAGCTGTTTTTTAAAGCTGTGTTCCTTGCTAGTTAGCTAATGTGCCAGACACATTATGCACCCAACCTTGCATCCTCTCACCTGCCTATTATTCTAGCTTCATGCAGGCATGACCTAAGGTGCCTCCCCTCAGCCACACTGCAGGACTCCTGTTTTCCACTTGGAGCATCTCTGAAATCATGACCATTTAGAGCTGGAGCACAT